TGTTTGGAGTGGCTGAGCCGTCCACGTCAGCACCCCACGGGCTGGGCGTAAGTGAGTCATGGCGGGGGGCGCGGAGGAGCAAGCAGTGGTGGATGAGTCATGCGGGCGGGGCTCCTTTGATGGTGGCACCCCAGAGTGTGCGGGAGCCACCCGCGGAGGCGCTGGGCGAGGAAGCGATCCGATCCTGGGTCTCCTCCTGCGGCAGCTGCACACTCGAAAGTGCTCGACGGGGGTGCCAGCACAGGGGGGTAGGAAGGGCCCCCGTCATGGTTCAGGAGACACAGGCCGTCCAAGTGACCAAGCCGAAGTTGAGCCAGCTGAGCGACGCGCCTGACTTCCACGACCCTTGGGTGACGCGGCTCAGATGCGGACCGATTCGAGTGAGCAAACTGGTGGCGAGGGACTTTCAGGAGCTGGGCGACCGCGGGATGCTGAGCGCACCGTGCCCTCTTGAACCGCCTCCGTGTGGCGGCGAATGGGTGGAGCTCTGGCAGGATGCGGTAGTGCATGCTTCCACCTGGAGCCAGGCCGTGCGCACCAGAATTTACTCGTGCAAGTGCCCGAGGAAGCACACCATCCACTTTGATGGAGAGCACTTGGGCTTGTACGTCTGGAGCCGCCAGACGATTATTGTACAGGAGAGCCTCCAGCTGTTGCTGAAGCAGATGCAGAGGGGCCAGTCGGGTTTCGGGGCGCTGCTAGAGGGGCAGCAGGAGGCCTTCCGGAGGGCTCCCGAGTGCGCCGTCCTATCCGAGGAGACGTGGCGGAAGGCCAGCCTCGATTTCTTCCGACTGGTGGGCCAGCAGATCCTTGAGTGTTGCAGCATATGCGGTCCCCATCCGGAGGTGAGCATCTTGATTGGGGAAAAACTTAAGTTGAAGCCGCTTGGAAGGGCATAGCAGTTGAATTGGTGATGGCACCTTGGATACTTTTTGAAAGCAAGCATAGGCTCAGGGGATGGTTGCTTTACTGAAGGCCTGTTTTTGATGAAACCCCGTAAGTCCTTGCATCTGCTTCTACCACCGATTGATGGAATGTTTCTGATGAAACTGCTCGATCATGCTGCCGCAGGTCTTGCTGTGCGACGGGATCGTGGGAATTTCCAACTCCGACGGAGGGAAGCGCCCCGGAGGGCTGGGGTCGACCTCGCATGACTTCCGCAGACCGTTCACGCATCCGAGCCGGTATGCGGACGGCGCTCCGTTCGAGAAACAGTCGGTGGCCGGGCGCGACTACTGCGCTGCAGGCCTAGAGGGCGGTGGCATGAAACGCCGTCTGGTGCTCCAACCGGAGCTCAGGGAGCTGATAGCACGCCTCTCGAGGCATCGCCCCGAGAGCGAGAAGCTCGGTCGGCGGCTCAGCGAGGCAGAGTACCTGGGAATGAAGGCGGCCCTGGGCAGAGAGGACGTCCAGCTCGTGACTCGCTTTGTTCCGGGTGATGGGGAAGGCCCGGTTCCAGCGGACACCAGGCGCCGGCTCCTGGTCGAACAGCGCCAGATGGTCCGGGACAAGAACCGGGCGATGCTGCGACTGTTGGAGGGAATCGAGCTCGAGCAAGCGGCAAGAGGTGGGAGCCCGCGTCTATGGGAGCACTGGCCGTGTGAGTGGGGTGAATTGCTATATGACCTTGGGGCGCACGATTCGGATGACGGCATCATTGGCCACTCTGACGGGCTAGCTGTGGTCCGCGAGCTGCTCTTGGGGGAGGACGCGAGCATCGAGGATCGCCGCCAGCTGGGGGAGCATTCTCCCATCTTGCGCCGCGTGCTGGACGCCCAGGGCGGGCACCGCTTTCCCGCTTTCTTTCTGCCCGCTCTGCACCACCTCTACGAGCTCACGTT